CCTGAGGGCTGCTACAGAATCCCTAAGGGATGTCATAGAATCCTGAAGGCCGCCATAGAATCCCTTAGAGCTGCCATAGAACCCCTTAGGGCTGCCATAGAATCCCTAAGGGACGCTATAGAATCCTTGAAGGGATGCAATAGAATCCCTAAAGGGCTGCTGTAGAATCCTTAAGGGGGATGCTATAGAATCCCTAAGGGATGCTATAGAATCCCTAAGGGGTGCCATAGAATCCCTCATGGATGCTATAGAATTCCTGAAAGGGATGCTATAGAATCCCTAAGGGGGATGCTATAAAATCCTTAAGGGGATGCTATAGAATCCTTAAGGGATGCTGTAGAATCCCTTAGGGATGCTATAGAACCCTTGAAGGGATACTATAGAATCCCTAAGGGCTGGTATTGAATCCCTAAGGGATGCTACAGAATCCCTAAGGGATGCCATAGAATCCCTAAGGGACGCGATAGAATCCTTCAAGGGATGCTATAGAATCCCTAAGGGGATGCTATAGAATTCTTAAGGGGGATGTTATCGAATCCTTAACGGGATGCTATAGAATCCTTAAGGGATGCTATAGAAGCTCTGAGGGATGCTATAGAATTCCTGAGGGATGCTCTAGAATCCATATGGGCTGCTATTGAATCCCGAAGGGATGCTATAGAATCCCTAAGGGATGCTATTGAATCCCTAAGGGATGCTCTAAAATCCCCATGGGTCCCGGCGTGTTGCCCGGCGTCCCTCAGTGGCCTGCCCCAGAGGGGGCCAAATGGCTTGAACCACAAATTAAGAGAGGGAGAGGAGCGTGCCCACGTCAGCCGCAAGGCCACCAGAGCCACGGGAGTCAAATCCGCCGCCGTGCCTCCTGCACGGCAGAGGCGAATTAGAAGCTCGGCCGGCACGGGAACGAAAAGAGCTTCCTGTGGGGCCAGGGCCACGATCCTCGAGAGACGTGTGCCGAAATTATCTTTCCGTGGGGCTCCGTGTGGGGTCAGGGCCACGATCCTCGGGAGGGGTGTGCCGAAATGAAAATTCGGTGGGCCTCCCTGTGGGGTCTGTGCCACTATCCTCAAGAAGGGTGTGCCGAAATGATGTTTCGGTGGAGCCCCCTGTGGGGCCAGGGCCACGGTCCTCGAGAGGGGTGTGCCGAAATGAAAATTCGGTGGAGCTCCCTGTGGGACCAGGGCGACGATCCTCGAGACGGGTGTGCCGAAATGAAGTCTCGGTGGAGCTCCCTGTGCGGCCAAGGCCGCGCGATCCTCGAGAATGGTGTGAAAAAATGAAGCGTGGGTGGAGCTCCCTGTGGGGCCAGGGCCACGATCATCCTTGAGGGGTGTGCCGACATGAAACTTCGGAGAAACCCTCTGTGAGGCCAGGGCCACAATCCTCGAGAAGGGTGTGCCGAAATGAAGTTTCGGAGGAGCCCTCTGAGGCCAGGGCCACGATCCTCGAGAGGGGTGTGCCGAAATCAAGCTTCGGAGGAGCTCCCTGTGAGGACTGAGGCCCTATGGGATTCCTATAAGATTCCGAAATATGACTCCCGTAGGATTCGTATCAGCTTCCCGCTGGATTCCTATAGGATTCGTAAAGGCCCTTCCTATAAGATTCGCAGGGGCCTTATAGGATTCCCATAGAATTCCTACAGGATTCCTATAGGATTCGTTACATTCCTATAGGATTCCTACAGGATTCGTGGAGGCCCCATAGGATACGTAAACTAATCATTTAGGAATCTCATTGGATTCGTAGAGGCCTTATAGGATTCCGATGGGAGTCCTATAGGATATGTCAAGGCCTTCTGGGATTCCACTCCGATTCCTATAGGAGTCCTGCAGGGTTCGTAAAAGTCCTATAGGAATCCGATGAGAGTCCTATGGAAATCCTATACGATTCGCAGAGGCCCTATAGGATTCCTATGAGTTTGCGATCGGATTCCTATAGGATTCGTAAAATGGCTCTATAAGATTATGATGGAGTTCCCAAGAGGATTCCTATAGGCTTCGTAGAGGCCCTATAGGATTCCTTTGGAGTTCCTATAAGAAGCAGAGAAGCCCTATAATATTCCCATCGGATTCCTGTAGGATCCCCCTAGGATTCGTAGAGGCCCTATAGGATTCCCATGGGATTCCTATAGGGTTCCCATAGGAATCAGGCCCTATAGGATCCCGATCGGATTCCAATTGGATTCCTATAGGATCCGTAGAGGCCCTCCAGGATTCCCATAGGAATCCGATCGGATCCTTATAGGATTAGCAGAAGCCCTATAGGATTCATCTGGCATTCCTATATGATTTCTATAGGCTTCGCAGAGGCCCGATAGGATTCCCAAAGGATTCCTAACATATCCGTATATGATTCGTAGAGGCCCTATAGGATTTCCAAAAGGATTCCTATGGGATTCCCATCGGAATCCTAAAAGCCCTATAGGATTCCCATGGGATTCCTATGGGATTCCCATAGGAATTCTAAAGACCCTATAGGATTCCTACAAGATTCTTATAGGATTCCTATCGGATTCGTAAAAAGCCCTATAGGATTCCCATAGGATTCCTATGGGATTCCCATAGGATTCGTAGAAGGCCCTATAAGATTTCTATCGGATTCCTATAGGGTCTCCGCGAACCTTGTAGAAATCCTATCGGAATCCCACAGGAACCCCATAAAGCCACTACGAACCCCATGGGAATCCCATAGGAATCTGATAGAAATCTTATAGGGCCTTCTACGAATCCTATGAGCCCTATAGGATTCCCATCGGAATCCTACAGGATTCGGGGTAACGTGCGTTGCGTTGCGTTGCGTTGCGTTGCGTTGCGCCGGCGGGGGGGGGGGTGGGCCGGCGCCAGTGAGTGGTTTCGTCAACAACAACAACAACAACAACACTAACAACGACAACGACAACGACAACGACAACAACAACAACAACAACAACAACAACAACAACAACAACAACAATTACTAGCACGTGGGGACACTCCGTTCTCACCAGTGCCAGGGTTTTCATAGGAGGCGGGCAATACCCCCACTTTGTGGGGGGGCCGGTTCAAGCTCTACCAAATTTCCAAACGACTCTTCGCCACCACCCACACCCAGCTTCCCGCCCTATGACGTTCGGACACTTCACTTCGTGGCATGCGGACGACCGTGGCTACTATTCAGGGCCCCGCGGCCGACGACGACGGCGTGCGCGCGCGAAGAAAAAACGAATGTGTCCCGCATGGTATTATTTGACAGGGATGATGGCCCTGGCAGGTGCGCAACCGTTGTTGCAGAAGTTCGAAAAAGTTGCTCGCAAAAGCCCGTTTGACAGAAATGTTTAAAAAGTGTTGGGTTTCCTACGAATCCGCAAGAGCGCGCGGGATGAAAGTTTGACATTTTTTTTTGAAAAACCATTGGTTTTTTGATGTTTTTATGTTAAAATCGCTACGAAAACTAAGGTTTTGGAAGGATTTCGTCTTGCGCGCGCGAATGTCCACTTTACCTTATTTTTTGCAAGGGATTCTTGAAGTTTGGTTATGTTAGAACAAGAAATGTCCACTTTAGCTTATTTTTTGCAAGGGAAAACCGATCGTAACAACACAACCGGATCCGGACCAACCCGTTTTGCCTGAGACTTCCTCACGAAAATGATGAAAACGTGGCTGCGGCCTAGGCGCGGCGGGGGGGTCGTGCACCAGGGGTCCCAACAATAATTATTCTTTAGAAGTAATAATGTTCAACAACAACGACAACGACAACGACAACGACGACAACGACAACGACAAAGACAACGACAACAACAACCCACATCGCGGAATCCCACTTCAGCCAAGCACCCAGGGACAGTGAATGATCGTTCGGCCTTCTCGCTCTGACGGAGCGGCCAAATGGTGCGGTCAACAAGAGTAGCAGAATCATCACCGATCAACTCAGACCGCTGAAGCACCCAAACACGAGCACACGGTCATCTCAAGGGGTCGGCGGATGCGGCGCAAGCCCATGATTCAATGCTTACGTATGGTGGGTTCTGCAACATCCACTGGCGCAGGGGTGCAAAACTGTGCCACCACAAACGTGGAGCCTTGATTCTCGACATCCCTCAACGATGCGATGCCACCGAACCTCTCGAACGCGAGGGAAAGCGATGACCACACCGGGATGAGGATGACGACGACAGACGGCAGAGCAGCGCAGCAAGCCAGACCCAGCAGAAGCGAACACGCCGGCGGCCCAAGCGGGAGAGCTGAACGAGTGGCCGACAGGGCTGATTCCAAACGGTGTTGTTCGTTATCGTTTTGTTTTTCGTTGTTCCTCGTTTTGCGGCGTCGCCGTGAATGCAAAACAACACGAACAACATAATGGCCTACGAGATGGCCAAAGCACCGTTTTGGTCCAGCCGTGGTGGCCAACTCCAGAACCCCTGCTAACAACGACAAGTAACGTCTCACGTTTACTTCCGCAGCCTTCCGCCAACCTTCCGCCCGCTTCCCCCAGCGGACTCGCCGCCGCTCTACTTCCGCTGGCTTCCACTGGCTTTTCGCTGGCGTCCGCCGAGGGCAAAATGCGCCGAAGACGGGGCCCTTTCTGGAGGGTCGTAAGTAGCACAACTCGGGTGCGTAAATACAGGGAGATGCCGTGGCCCCAGCCATGATGTCCATCCCAGTGGTCATCAACGCCCTCTTGGCCGCCCCTGAGAAAATGGATCTTACGCACGACGCTACTGCGGCCCCACACGTCCGCCTGCGCTGGGCCGCTCACGCGGGCACACCGCCCAAGGCATGCACGCGCGCCCGTACGCGGACGTTTGCGCGCGAACGTGGGCGCAGGTGGCCCCAGGCTTTCACGTCGCTCATCTGGAGGGGAGGCCCAATGCTGTTTTGCAGGCGGCAGGCCTGACGAGCGCAAGAGATGGCCCCGCCTCGGGCGCAGGGTCCAGCGTCAGGCTACGCCTCCAGCGCTACTCATGCATTAGCGGTGCGCGCGCCGCGAGTCGGCTCTACGTAAGGGTGTGCACCGCCGAGCCATCACAAGCAGTGCCGCGTCCACGTCTTCAGCCGCTCCCGCACCCGGGCGACCGCATGGCCGTACTGGGGGTCGGGCCTCCCAGACGCGCGGCCCGCGGCCTCCGCGGCCTCGAACAGCTCCAGCGCGCGGTGGAGGTCCCAAGCCCCCGCCTCGACGACGCGGGCCAGGCTGAAGGCTGCCCTGGCGTACCCGAGCGACGACTCGCCCGCGGTGGCCTTCCTGATGACCAGGGCCTGCTCGTACAGCTCCTCGGCCCTCCTCAGGTCCCCCTGCGCCTCCGCGGCCGCGCCGAGCTGCTGCAGTGTGCTGGCGTAGCCCGCGGTGTCCTCCCCGCGGGGCGGCGGCGCGGGCGCGGCCGGCGGCGGGACCGCGGCCGGCGCGGCCGGCGCCGGCTTCTCCGCCGCGGGGGCGCGCTGCCCGGCGCAGCCGCCCCACGCGGCGGGGACGCTCGGCGGCCACTTCGGCGTCGCCATGGGAGGCGTCTCGGCCGGCGGCGCAGGCGGCTGCCTCGCCGCCGCGGGGCGCTCCGCGGCGGCGGCCCGCGGCGGCGGGGGCACGGCGGGGCTCGCCCACCACGGGGCGGGGGGCGAGGCGGCGGGCGGAGAGCCGCCGACGGCGCGCCCGCGGCCGCTGGCGGTGGCGGACGGCGGGCTCACCAGGGGAAATCTCGAAGAGGCCAGCGCGTCGGCGGCGGGCGCCGGGCTCGCCGCCGGGAACCGCGAGGCCAGCGCGTCGGCCCAGTCGGTGGCCTCTCTGAACGCCCGGCAGGGGCTCGGGAACAATGGGCACGCTGCCCAGCAACAGGAGTTGTCCACAGCTGGCAGCGGCCGCTGGTTGGGCAGGCGAACGTGTATCTCAAATGCACAACGTCCCGCGGTGATGCCGACAGCGACGGCGGAAGCAGCTCCTGCTCAGAATGAACAGGAAGTGCTGTCGGTTGTCGTCTGAGGTCGGGGAAAGAGATCGCAGTGGAACGGAGAGCCCCACACCGGGAAATCGGTTTCGACTTCATGTTCGTGTCGTGCGTGCGAGGCGAAGCTGCGTGGGCGCGCGAGCGGAATGACCCCGCCGTCGCCAGGGCGATTCGGATGCAGTGGACCGCCCCTCCGCCCCCGGCAGGCGCGCGGTTGCCCGCAGTGTCCCGCCATGGTGTCTTATGGTGTCCCGTTGGTGTCTCGGTGGCCCGTCGGTCGTCCGTCGGCGTCTGGCGGGCGGTGGCCCGGGGTGTCCCGCCTTGGTACCGACAGTGAAGCCGATGATGAGATCGACAATGAGATCGCTAGAATGGGATGGATAGTGAGATCGAAAGTGAGATCGACAGTGAGGGTGATTCTGACATTGGTTGTGAGATAAAAAGCGGGGACGATAGTGACATCACATCGCAGTGCATCATCCTCATCACGCGTCGGCGCTGACTCGAGGGCGCGCCACCAGCATCGTCATCATCACACCCACCGCATTTGCCAACAGTTGGCTCTTCCCCCCCCCCATAACCCCCAAACCCCCTTACCACCCGAGGGGTGGTCGTACAAGTACAGATCCTTTCCGTACCCACTTCGATCGTGCCGAGCCTCGCACACGCCGCTGGCGAGCCCGGCGGGCGCCGGCATCGGCCGCGGCAGGTGCGCTGCCGCCTGCAGCGCGTGCGCCGCGGGCGCCGTGCTCCACGGCGGCGGCGCTGGCGAGCGGGCCGCGAAGGCCTGGGGCTGCGCCACGCTGGCCTGCCGCAGCGGGGAGCGCGCCCGCTGCGGCGAGGGCGGCCTCGCGGGCGAGGCTGCGCCCACCTCTTCGGTGGCAACTCGCGGGAGCATACAGTGCCATCTTGCTAGCTCTTGCGGGTCGACGCTAATCGACGCTGAACCGACGCTCATCGAACTTAAATCGGCGCTTCCCCATCGATGACCAAAGACACTAGCGCACGCCAATACACCCTGAAGACGGATTTACGAGGGCGGACTCGAAGCTCCCATGAGTTACCCGCTGTTGCCCGAAACCGACGGGCGGCCGCTGTTGGGCATCGGCCTCTTGCCTCAAATGGCCAACGGCCGACAGCGAACCCTGCTCCACGTCGCGCCCCGAACACCTCCACGCCGCGCTCTGGCGAGGCGAGGGCAGGGCCGCCAGTCGCCGAGCCAAAGGGCGACGGCGGCGGGCGGCCGGGCGCCCATGCCGCTGGGGTGCCTGGCGAGGCCGCCGCGGCCAGCGCCGCGCACTGCGCTGGCGCCCGCCGCAGCTCCGTAGCGAGCGCGCCGCTGGCAGCGGGGGCCGCGCACTGCACCAGCGGCTGCCGCACGCTGGTCGGCGCCGCCGCCGGCGTGGCCGAGGCCGTGCGCTGCCGCCATCCCGCGGGCACCACCGCGGCAGGGCAGGTGGTCTGCCGCACCACGGGCGACCGCCCGCGCGGGCAGCCCGCCTGGGGGACGCCCTCCTTCTCCTGCTAGTCCTCCGCCTGCGCCTCCTCCGCCTCTTCCTCCTCATCCTTCTCCTCCTCCTGCTCCTCCTCCTCCTCCTCCTCCTCCATCTCCTCCCCATCCGCTTCACGCCTGACATCTTAGTCCTCCTCCTCCGCCTCCTCCTCCTCCTCCTCCTCCTCCTCCCAATCATCATCATCATCATCATCATCATCATCATCATCATCATCATCATCATCATCAGCATCATCATCATCAGCAGCAGCAGCAGCATCATCATCATCAGCATCATCATCATCATCATCATCATCATAATCAGTATCATCATCATCATCAGCATCATCATCATCATAATCAGCATCTTCATCATCATCATCAGCATCCTCAGCATCACCAGCATCATCAGCATCACCATCAGCAACATCATCATCATCATCATCACCATCATCGTCAGCATCAACATTATTAGCATCACCATGATCGTCATCATCATCAGCATCAACATCACCATCACCATGGCGCCACCATCATCACCATTATCATTAGAATCAGCATCATCATCGTCATCAGCATCATCAGAATCACCACCACCCTCATCATCATCATCATCATCATCCTCAGCATCGTCATCATCATCATCATCATCATCATCATCATCATCATCATCATCGACAACAGCAACATCAGCAGCATCGACACCATCATCATCATCATCATTGTCACCATTATCATCAGAGTCAGTATAATCAGGATCAACAGCTTCATCATCAGCAGCAGCATCACCGTCATCATCAACGTCATCGACATAGTCAGCATCATCATCAGCGTCATCATCATCATCATCATCGGAATCGTAAGCAGCGTCATCATCATCATCACTATCAGCATCATCAGCATCATCACCATCATCATCGTCATCATCATCATCTAAATCATCATCATCAGCATCATCATCATCTTCATGATCTTCACATTCATCAGCAGCACCATCATCATCAGCAGCACAACCATCATCAGCATCATCAGCATCGTCATCATCGCCATCACCACCACCACCCTCATCATCATCATCCTCAGCATCATCATCATCGTCGTCATCGTCAGCATCATCATTGTTACAATAATCATAAGCAGCGGCACAATCATCATCAGCTCTATCATCATCGTCAGCATCATCATCATCAGCATCGCCTCATCATCACCATAAGCATCAGCAGCATCGTCGTCATCATCATCGCCTCATCACCATTACTTTCCGTATCACCATCATCATGAACAGCATCATCACCATCATCATCGCCTATCACCATTACTTTTCGCCACTGGCAGCATCATGATCATCATCATCATCATCATCATCATCATCATCATCATCATCATCATCATCATCATCATCATCATCATCATCATCGCTTCATCATCCTCGCAATCATCAGCATCAGCATCAGCATCAGCATCATCGTCATCATCGCCATAATCCTCACCAGCATCATCAGCATCATCATCAGCAGACTCATCATCACCGTCATCACTACCCCCCATCGGCACCATCATCACCATCACAACAGCTGTCAGTAGCATCATCATCGTCGTCGTAATCATCATCATCATCATCAGCTGCAGCAGCATCACCATCATCGCGTCATCATGATCATCGTCGGCAACACCTTCAGCATCATCATCAGCATCATCATGATCATCATCGTCTTCGTCATCATCATCATCATCATCATCCGTATCGTCTTCACCATCACCAGCTTAAGCATCATCAACACGTATGAGCCTCATCATCATCACAAGCATCATTGTCATCATCATCATCATCACCATCATCATCAGCCACATCACCGCTCATCATCATGATGAATAGCAGTATCGCCGTCATCATCCGCACCATCATCATAAGCAGCATCATCATCACCAGCATCATCAACGCCATCATCATAGTCATCGACATCATCACCATCATCATCGTCGTCGTCGCCGCCATCATCAGTTCAATTACCATCATCATCAGCAACAACAACGAACACATGATACTGATCAGCATCATCATCATCACCATCATCATCAGCATCATCATCGGCCTCATCCACGCCCTCGTCTTCATCAAAATCACCAGCATCATCAGAAACAGAATCAGCATCATCAGCAGCAGCATCCTCATCCTCATCCTCATCATCAACATCCTCAGTATCTGGATCATCGTCATCTTCATGGTCATCATCAGCAGCATCAGCATCAACATACTCATCGTCATCAGCAACAGCATCATCATCACCACCACCATCAACATCATCACCAGCACCTCCACCACCACCACCATCATCATCATCATCATCAGCATCATCATTCGCATCCTCTTTCTCCTCCTCCTCCTCCTCCTCCTCCTGCTCTTCCTGCTCCTCCTGCTCCTCCTCCTCCTCCTCCTCCTCCTCCTCCTCCTCCTCCTCCTCCCCTCAAAGATCGCCCCCTTGGCCGCACGAGAGGTGCGCCCTGACCAGAACTCCGAAGCGGATCCAGCCGCGTCGGCGAGAACGCCCCTGGGAGGCCAAACAAAAACTCGAAGGGGGAAGACCCAGACATCCAACGTCGGAATTTCTCGATACGGGGTCCCCGGAAGCCAACACCCGTTCCGCAGGGCAGGCTGTTCGTTCTGAGCCACCCTGTGGAGCTCCCAATGCCCGAATGCGGCCCACAAGGGCCGAAAACAGAGAACAACACCTCTGCTTCGATGCCTGGGCTGGAACCTTGTGGCGGCGCGCCTCGGCCGCTGGCGCAGACGCCCGGGGGGAGCGGTTGCGAAGGGGCGGCCGATCCGCGACGAGCACGTGCAGCGGTGCCTCGCGGCAAGGGCGGGGGAGGCGCCAACCCTCCACATGGGAGGTCGTCGTCGTCGTCGTCGTCGTCGTCGTCGCCTCCTCCTCCTCCTCCTCCTCCTCCGCCTCCTCCAACTCCTCCTCCTCTTCCTCCACCCTCCTCCTCCTCCTCCTCCTCCGCCTCCTCCTCCTCCTCTTTCTCCTCCTCCTCCGACTCCTCCGACTCCTCCGAATCCTCCTCCTCCTCCTCCTCCTCCTCCTCCTTCCTCCTCCTCCTCCTCCTCCTCGTCCTCCTCCTCCTGATCCTCCTCCGCCTCCTCCTCCTCCTCCTTCACCTCCTCCTCCTCCTCCTCCCCCCCCTCCTCCTCCTCCTCCTCCCTCCTCCTCCTCCTCCTCCTCCTCCTCCTCCTCCTCCTACGCCTACTCCTTCTCCTACTCCTACTCATGAACACTCCTGCATTATATCCTCCTTTTCCTCCTCCTCCTCCTCCTCCTACGCCTACGCCTACTCCTTATCCTACTCCTACTCATGAACACTCCTGCATCATATCCTCCTTTTCCTCCTCCTCCTCCTCCTCCTCCTCCTCCTCCCCCTCCCCCTCCCCCTCCTCCTCCTCCTCTCCTCCTCCTCCTCCTCCTCCTCCTCCTCCTCCTCCTCCTCCTTCTCCTCCCACATTATTTATACATGTATATACTCCTTATACATATGGAATGCCAAGGGAAAACCCACAGGTCACCGGCACCCCCCCGCACATACCCCCCAGATATGCGCCCCACGCCCTCCCATGGGTGATCCAAGGAGCCCCTCCCGCAGCCTCCTCCTAACCTTTCGTGGGCCTCCACCCTCCCCAAGACGCCGACGATTGCCCCAAGGCGGCCCAAGAAACCGCAGAGCCTGCTAGGACGCCTGCCAGGAGGAGCCAAAGTGACTAAAACCAATGGCTTTTCCTAGGTTTCGATCCTTTCTCGACTTTCTGGGCCCCCCAGTTTTCGCACGCTCCGATACGGCCCAAAAGGATTGCAGAACCGCCACAACGCAGTCCCAAACACGGTCCACGACAGCCAAAAAGATGCTCCCCTGATGGACCACGAACTCCCATGGTACCCCTTCCGCAGCCTCCTCCTAGCCTTTCCTGGGCCTCCACGCCCCAGTAGCCTTGCAAACCCGCCCCAACACAGCCCAAGAGATTCCTAGCACGGCCTGGGCGAGCCCCAAGACGATCGATCTCCTGAGAGAAAGGGCAGTCGTACCCCGTCCGGAAAAAAACAGCGGTCGGGAATCAGAGGCTGCCGACGCCGCCATTCCGCCAAGCAGGCGCCGGAGCCCTCTCGGCAGATCGGCCCGCACGCGCACGCAGCCTGGCCACGGAAGGCCAGCGGGCGCGATGGACGAAGACAAGCAAAATGCAGAATGAGGAGGAGGAGGACGAGGAGGCGGAGGAGGAGGGAGGAGGAGGAGGAGGAGGAGGAGGAGGAGGAGGAGGAGCAGGAGAAGCAGGAAGAGGAGGAGGAGGGGGAGGAGAGGGAAGAGAAGGAGTGAGGCCCGATCGCGGCCCCTGGGGCAGCCGGCGCGGCAGCGAAGCGCCCCCGCACACAGCCACCAGCATGCTGCTCGGTGCTGGGCTGCTGGTGGCCACAACGCTGGTCCGCGCCAGGGCGCGCCACATCCCTCACGACCAAATGATTAGAGAAAAGAAACAAGAAAACGCAAAAACAAGACTTCAGGCGCTCCGCGCGGATTTCTTGGATCTGCGCTGAGCGCCCCTCCCTGGCGCGCGGAACGCGCCAGGGGCGGCGCTGGAGGCGCCGCTGGGGGGGTCCTGCGCGGATCCAAGAAATCCGCACAGAGCGCCAAAAGCTTATGTTTATGGCGTTATTTCTTCTTCGATGCATTCCGTCCTGCTGATCAACGCCGTGCTGCCAGTGCCCCACGCGCTGCTCGGCACCCTCGGACTGCTCACGAGAGTGCTGCTCGCCGCACTGCAGGCCCACCTTGCGGCTGCTGCTCCCGCACTGCAGAAACCACAAAAGGTGCGGCTGCTCCCGAGCCAACTCGCGTTGCCCGACGCCGTGCTGCCTGTCGACCGCGCGCCCACAGTCGCGCTGCTTGCAGCATTGCACGTCCCAGTCATGGATGTCCAAATAGCTATGCTGCTCCCCGATACGATGCTGGACGTCATGCTGTTCGCCGCCTTCGGTGGCAACGCATTGGAGCCTCCCATACCATCTTGTCGGCTTTTGCGAATCGACGCTAATCGACGCTAGATCGGTAAACATCGATACGACATCGACGCTAACCGACGCCAGCCGACGCTAAATCGGCGCTACCTCATCGACTCCCAAACGCTAATCGACGCTATTCGACGCCAAAGACGGTATGCAGAGGGTACACCAAGCTGCCCATGACTTGCTGCCGAGGCCGCCAGCGTGCTGCCCACAACCGTGCCGCTCGCCACACGCTCGCCCCGCCTTCGGGACGTCGGAGTCGTGCAGCGGGCGCGGGGGCGCCCAGACCCCCCATACGCGCGAATCGAGAACAGAAGTGCACTCAAGCAGGCCGTTTCGGCCCGCCTCCGCCGCCCTCGCCCCCTCCTACCTTCCAACTCCTTCATTTCTGACGTCCTTGTGCGAAGCACCTGGCAGTACAGTGAGCAGGACGGGGACGACGAGAGGAGGAGCAGGGCGGCGACGGCGGGGGGGAGCAAGGAGGGAGGAAATGAAGGAGGAGCGAGGAGGAGGGAGGAGCAAGCTAGCCCCGTCGTTGCGCTGAGTCAACAATAGCTACCTATAGTAGGTCCTTGCATACCCATAGCATGGCGGACGATGTGCCGTATCAGATCCCCATAGGTATCTGCTACACGAACTGTCTCTGGTTATTCTGAGGCTTAGGCATTCCCAGACGGCGCCAGCGCGGATCGTGACGTGACCGACCCCCCTCCCCCCACACCCTTGTCATGCCCGTTATCTTCAGAGAATGAAAAACGCTCGCGTGTCAAGATCGAGGAGTGGGAGCGAGGAGCGAAGAGCCATGACCGCGTCATCCTGCGAGCCAACGAATCATGGATCGCGTCATGGCTCACACTTCCACAGGCGTCCACGATCGAGGAGTGTGAGCTGGTCTGCTCCTGGGATAACCTATCAACGCCCTCCCCATCTCACAGTCAAATATTGTCAAAAGGAACTTGCGGTGAGGAACAGAGCCCTCATTGGGCCGCAGCATTCTGGCGAGTGCCGGGAGGAAACATTCGAGGAATGGCACATGGAACCTCAAGCAGATTTCAAAAAATTATCCTGGCGAAGGACCCAACCATATGCAGTTGTGAGTATCGCAAGTGTGAGTATCTTTTTCGGTGGCGCTCCCTATGGGGCCACGAACCGCACGAGGGGTGTGCCGAAATGTGGCGGGGTACACAACGCAAAGGAATACGATAGATCTGATTACGAGAGAAATAACGCGGGTGAGTCAGAGCGCGAGGGAGTCTGAGTATGAATGGGTCTGCGCGCGAGTGAATATATTTGCACGAATGCGATCATGGAAACGCCTAGTGTAAGTGTCGAGCATGCCTGTCCGAACACACGTGACACTGGGCGTGGCCGCCGCAGGCAGCTTCCGCGGGAACCCCGACGGCAGCGTCCGCACGTCGCGACGCCCATGTCGGCACGCCTCTTGCGAGGATCGCGCCCGCTTTCGGCTCTTCTTTTCCTTCCTCTTTGCCCGCGCACTCCAAAATCCAAGGCTGCGGGCGCAGCGCAGCGCGGAGTCCCCGCGACGCGCGCTGGTCGCCCCGGGCGGGGTCCCAGCGACGCGCGCGGGTCGTCCGCTGCGCGAAGCAGAGAGAGCTGACTAGCTAACTGGCTGGCTGATAGCGGGCAAGTCTCTGACCGCTGGGCAGAGCGACGACGGGCGAACGAGGCGCCGGGCCCCCCGCAGCACGGAGTTCCCGCGACGCGCGCTGGTCGCCCCGAGAGGGTCCCAGCGACGCGCGCGGGTCGTCCGCGGCGCGAGGCCAAACAATTAGTCGGGCAGTCGAGAGAAGGCGCGGCTCGGGGGAGACGCTCCTCAGGTCAGGCCTCGCGGATGAACTCGGTGAAGCCGAGCTCCCTGGCGAGGGCCGTCGCTTCCCTCCTGCACCGCTTCGTGCGCGCCGCAAACTGCTCCAGCTGCTTCCGCAAGCCCTGCGGCGGCCCTGCCAGGAAGAACTCGATGCGCGGCGCCCGCATGAGCAGGAGGTCCTCGTGGCGCGTGGCGCGCGAGAGCAGCACGTAGAGCTCCAGCCACCAGTCGTCGTCCTCCTTCTTGCCGTTCCCTACCTCGTGGCGGCCGCAATCCAGGATCACGCCTGGGCGACGTCGACCGAGGGAGCAGCGCGCCGGGCAGCCGACGGCCCAGGGCGAGAGTCCACAGGACCGAGAGATGGTCTGGCCGCGGACTGCTCGCGCCCCGGAGGTCTGGCCGCCCCCGGAGCGCCGTTCCCCCGCCCCGTCGCCTTCGCGCATGGTGCGCCCCTGGCACGCCACCGTGGTGATGACCCTGCCGTGCGAGAAATGCGGGGGGTGTGCCGAAATGGGTGGGGGTGACGCATGCGGGCGGCAGCACTGAGGCCTTCGGTGGAGCTCCGCATGCTTCGGTGGAGCTCCCTATGGAGCCACGAAACGTGTGAGGGGTGTGCCAAAATGGGTGTGGGTGACGCATGTGGCCGCGGGCACTGGGGCCTTCGGTGGAGCTCCCTATGGAGCCACGAAACGTGTGAGGGGTGTGCCGAAATGGGTGTGGGTGACGCATGCGGCCGCGGGCACTGGGGCCTTCGGTGGAGCTCCCTATGGAGCCACGAAACGTGTGAGGGGTGTGCCGAAATGGGTGTGGGGACGCATGCGGCCGCGGGCACTGGGGCCTTCGGTGGAGCTCCCTATGGAGCCACGAAACGTGTGAGGGGTGTGCCGAAATGGGTGTGGGTGACGCATGCGGCCGCGGGCACTGGGGCCTTCGGTGGAGCTCCCTATGGAGCCACGAAACGTGTGAGGGGTGTGCCGAAATGGGTGTGGGTGACGCATGCGGCCGCGGGCACTGGGGCCTTCGGTGGAGCTCCCTATGGAGCCACGAAACAATGTACTGGGTGGGTGAAGAGGAGAGGAGAAGAGGAGAGGAGAGGAGAGGAGAGGAATGATGATGATAATGATGATGATAATGATGATGATGATGACGATGATGTCAGGCTCCATAGGGGGGCTGGGTGCCTTGCGTCAGCAACTCTCGAATTGCCCTCTTCCGCTTGGCCACTGCTCGGGCCCTTGCCCGCATCAGAGCCTCGACCCTGCTAGGGCCAGCTTGGGTCGGTTGAGAGCGCAGAGTGTTATACGTCGAGAGCAAAAGATCATGCACAAGAATGGCACCATGCACGGCTCTACAGGACAGCATATGAGGCCTCAACAGCAAACGATCAATAGCATTCCACTCGAGGAAGTCAGGCGGCAGCGACGGAATGATCTTAGGAAGAAGTGGCAGCGGCACAGGGCACTGAAAATAGTGGGAAATGTGGTCTGAGTCTGCAGCACCGCAGCCCAGGACGCAGCAACGGTTCCCTGATCGAAATCTGGCCGACGTGGGCCACGCATTACAAATAGACTTGAGGAGAGAGGAGGCAACGAAGGGGGCTTGTTTGGTAGCGGCGTTTAAAATGGCTCGAAAAATAAATTCGGCGTGGCCCATGGGGGCCTCACTCCAGAACTTCCGAATCCTTGGGAAGAGAAGGGTAGGCATTGATGGGCGGCCCATGTTCTCGGCAACGGCAATCGTGACTTTTCGCTGAACATCGTGCGTGTATTCATTGATCGACGGGCAAATCGTCATGAGCTCGTCCCAATTCTTGATCAGGGAGCCGCAAATAGACTCTGCGAGCCAAGACCTGTGCCGAACAACAGCCAGTCGTTCGACGTCTTCGTGCTCTAGAAAATGCAGGCGTTCCTTCACTCTAGCGAAGGCTGAACTCTGAAGAGCGACCCGAAACATAGCGGCCTTGTTCGTGGCCTGGAGGTGGCGGGGCTCGACTGGGAACCCAAGGTCCAGGGAGTTCTTGAGGACAAGGGTGGGGATGGCGAACCTTGGGCCCATGGTCAGCCTTTGAAGAGCGTTCGTTTCGGCTCGAATCACCTCGGGCCTGACCGGCAGTACCTGCATCATGTACGTCAAGATCGGGAAAGCTAGCGAGTTGTAGGCATAGATGTTCTGAACTAAACCGAGCTTCAGCGTCTTAATGTGCCCGACCCTGGAGAGATACTTGACCAGCACAGGATGCCACGAAGCCGCAGGCCCAGTAGGGCCGATCATCACCCCCAGATATTTCCCATGAGTGTCGACCTGGAAAGGCTTTATATTGATGCCCCACTTTTTGAATTCTTGATTGAGCTCGGTTCTATCGAACTCCGCGCCAATGACAATCACGCACTTCTTCAAATTCGGGAGCAGACCGGTCACGATCGAGCTCCTGAGAAAGTGCTTCATCATCGCGGGAACTGACTGCCTCAAGTCGGCCATCGCAGCGCCTACGTCGTCGGCGAAAGCGAACGGGGAGGAGGGGGTAGGTAAACGTGTCAAAATCATCTCCAGCTTCCGTAAAATAGGATCAAAGGCCAGGGCGAAGAGGGCACCTGAAAGTGGGCAACCTTGTTTTATTCCACGAGTGATTCGGTACCCAGGGAACTTTTTTCCAGCAAAAATGATGAAGGAGTAGAGGTCGGAATACAGCTGGCCAACTGCGCGGAGGATAAACTCTGGGATGCCCATCCGATTTAGCACGTGCAAAATCCATTTGTGGGACAGCGACGGGAACGCCGCTTTCAAATCCAGCAGGAACAGGCCAGCAAACGGGCAGTCGTTATAACACGCGTACTCTAGAAATTTGCCTTCAATATCGATGATATTGTCGATCAGGTATCTTCCTTTCACGAAGCCTTTTTGCAACGGGTTAGTAGAAAAAACTGCCTGCTGGCCCATGGGCACACATATTGCGCTTGCCAAAAGCTTGTTGTCGGTGTTGCTAAGAGTGATCGGCCGAACTTGGCCAGATGGGCGAACTATGGACTCATGATCATTCTGAAGGATATCTTTGGGAAGAAACACCGTTTGCCCATGATTAAACCCCGAAGGCAGACTGGCTCCTGCACATAATGCCTGGTAGGCTTCAAATAACACACGGTGAGCGCGCTCTCCTGCGTGTCTCCAACACGAGTAGGGAATTCCGTCAGGTCCACAGGCAGAATCGCGGCGACTGATGACGATCCCTTGGAAGGTCCCGAAATCGATTTCCCATTCAATGCCAGGGGCAGCCCGAGGAATATCATCCGAAAACTCGTTCATGATTTCCAGAAATTCTGGGTGAAGTCCAGGTCCCTGAGAATGAACTTCTCCCCAGTGTGCCGCCAGCGCCTGTGCACATTCGTCAAGCGAGCCAAGAGGTGAACCGTCAGGAGCAGAGATGCCACTCAAGTTGAGACGCCGCCGCTTCGGCGACCATGATTTCAAACGTTGGTGAAGTCGAGATCGCTGCTGCTCGACTTCCTGTAAGCCATGCCACCATCATCATCGTCATCAGATGGATGATGATGACGATGATGATGATGACGATGATGATGGTGATGATGATGATGATGATGGCAGGAGGGAGGGGCAGCGGGAGGAGGAAGGAGAACGCGGGGCACCGTCTCTTCAAAACGAAGACCCAACACCACAGGATGGTTGGGAACAAAAAAAAAACACGGCGGTCCTTCCTCCAACACCTTCCCTGGAGAAACTGCCACGCCGCCGACCAAGATCCGACCAAAACAAGTTCCCCCAAACCCCCCAGGAGGGTCCACTCCAGTCAGTGCTCCGAGAGGCGTCGAGCCAAGGCGGCGTAACGTCTCATCAAAACTACCTTAAGACATCCGAAACGAGGACGCCGCCGCCGCCCCACCGCTTCGTGCGCGCCGCCGCAGCGAGAACAAACAAAAGAGGGAGAGAAGAGATCCAAGAGGAGGAAAGGTAAGGAAGGGGGGCACGTCAAGGAAGAAAGAGGAGGAAGAAGGGGAGGAAGAGACGGAAGGAACAGGGGAAGAAGAGGAGGACCAGTGCGAACCCAAGACGCATCAACGATGTTGCATTGGAACCTGACTCCCAGTGTCCTCTTCATAGGACCCTACCACGAATGCATTTTCATTGCGGGAATGGCCCATTCAAAAACAGACGTCTGAGAACTACCGGGCAAAAGCACCGTTGCTGGGACTTCAACGCCACGAATCAACCTGACAGTTGCGTCCTGACCATCCGAAATTGGGACTTCAACTCTACGAACCCTTGAGGCTGTAAACGTTCAAAACGAATGTGCGTGGCGCTAAACGCGAGAGCCACAAACTGCTGCAAACTTTTGAAACTGATGTGCGCGGCGCTACTGTGGGAACGACATAATGAAACGGCGTGCCCTCCATCCTTGAAAATGCTACAGATCTCAAGCTTCTGGATCATACATGGTTATGAAGTCTCAAGCGAAACGTCCAGCCCGCCCCACCGACACGTCTGCGGGTGCGACGAGGAGGAATTCAACGCCATAAACATACGCTGTTGGGCTCTCCGCGCGGATTTCTTGGATCTGCGCTGGACCCCCCCCTCCCTGGCGCGGCGCCGCTGGGGGGATCCTGCGCGGATCCAAGAAATCCGCGCGGAGCGCCAAACCTCATGTTCATGGGTTGTTGTTATGCTTCTATCCTCCTCCACCTCTTGTCATGATCCTCCTCCAAACGCTGTTTCTTATTCGAGAAGAGACGGACGCCGACGCCGCCGACGCCAGCATCTCAGCCGCCGTGCGCGCCGACGACGGCCCACGACGCAGGCGCACCCCCCCTCGCAGGGCCTCCGCGGCCAGGCCGGAGGCGCCGCCCGTGGCCAGCCGCACGGGCGAGGACAGGCGGCGGCAGGTGCCTCCCCCGAGCGGCGGCGGCGGCGACGGACCCGACGACCCATCGGCGTCGAACGCCACCACGACGACGACGACGACGACGACGACGACGGCGGCGGCGGCGGCGGCGGCGGCGGCGGCGGTGGCGGCGGCGGCGCCAGCGCCAGCGCCAGCGGTGCCGGCGGCGGCGGCCTCGGCAGAGGCAGCGGCGGCGGCGACGGCGGCCGCGACTACCTGCGCGGGCCTCTGGAGGCCTCCAGAGGCCTCTCTGGGGACTACTGGAGGCCTCCGGGGACGGGGACCTCCTGGGGGGCGGGCACCCTCGCCGCCGACGCCGTCGTCTGGCGTCCTGCTCGCCCCCCTCGGCCATCGCCGCCTTCGTCGCCGGCTCCCGCGGGGACTCGCGACTGGTGGTTTTCCGTGGCGGGCCCCTTCAGGGGACCTCCAGATGCCGCCCTCCGCCGGGGCCCTTCCACGGAGGGCAGCCCGCCAAGCTGCCACGGTTCCTGGGGATCGCTCGGCGGGGCGTCACCCGCCCCGTCGCCGTGCCCTGTGCGGGCTGCCGACGCTCTGCACAGCGCGACGACGCCTCGCGCGGATCGTTGTCGCGCTCAGTGGCGCCCTGCCACGGGCGGAGCCGTTTCTGAGGATGGCCCCATGTAGGCCTCGCAATCGTACAGGACGGAGGGACAAGAATCATCTCGTTGGGGCCGCAAGGAGAGGCCCCTCAGGAGGCCCCGAGACGCACCCAATCAGCCCCAAGAGGGCTCCACAGGTCCCCCAAGAGACCCCCCGAGAGACCTCAAGAGGCATCTAAGCTCACGACCAAGAGCGGGATGGGCCGCCGCCTCCTGTAGCCTGCAGGAGAGGTTGTTCGCGTGTTGGACGATAACCGTTTGAATCATTCCAAAATGTTCCCCAAAAAGAGGTCTCGGCCGATGCAACTGGCCACACGAAAGGATTCCCAAACGGCTTTACTGCTTATGATGGCCCTGAGATGATGTTCAAGACGGCCAAGTTGGTCCAAGATGACCTCCAAGACACTCCCATGACGCTTCAAAAACGGCCCCAAGAGGGCCCGAGATGCCACCAAGACGGCCCAAGATGACTCCAAGACGGCCCAAGATGCCCTACGGACGACCCAAGAGGCCCACAAGACACCACCAAGAGGGCCCCAAGATGGGCCCTAAGACCACCCGAGCGGCCCCCGCGACGTCCCCGAGAGGGCTCCAAGAGGGCACCACTGATCTCCAAGGCGGGCCCAAAACGCCCAAAGACGGCCTCAAGACGGCCCAGAGAGGCCCCCATGACGGCCTCCACCTCCTCCTCCTCCAACTTATGTTCCTCTCCTCCTCATGTCTCTTCCTTCCCACATTGTTTCCCTAAGGATTTCTTCAACGGCTGGGGGGAAACAGAGTCCAATGTAACCTCATCAAGCCATGGACCCCCCGGGATTATCATTAGCACAGCACCGTAATCAAATAATTATGGGGGGCGGTTTTCGCCGAACGATACGATTAGCACCGCGCACATGGAACGAAAATAAATAATTCCCGCGCCCTGGCTCAGGTGGTATCCCAATTGAATGCTGAATAATAATAAGAGTCTCGTACGAGTAATAAGAATGATAATGGTAGTACTGATAAGAATAAAAATAAAGCTACGAATAAAACAACTAATGGTAAGAGCAAGAATGCGAATAATAAGACTAATACTAATAGCACTAAGAATACTAATCAGACTCCGAATAATACTAACGCGCTAAGAAAAATACTCATAATAATAAGTCTATTATGAACAATAAGAGCGCGAATACGAGTAATACTACGAATCATACTAAGAGTGGCAATGACAATAGTAATAATAAGAAAAATGAGGGTAGGAATAAGAGTAATCCGAATGAAAATAAGAGTGATAATAAGAGTAAATACAAATAATAGCAATAATAATCAGAATCATAATCCGAAAAACACTCAGAATGATAATAATAAAAAGAACAAGACTCATACTTATAATAAGAATAATAATAATAACATGAATAATAAAACAATAGCTGCGCATTCTCTTCATCACCCTTGTCCTATACGATTTTTAGTGCCGCCCTTGTTGAAAAAGTGTTGTTTCCCGGCCGTCGCGTGAGGTAGTGTGCATCCGAGGGTATCGCCCCCGCCACGCACGGCGCGTTATCTTAGCACCGCACCCGCACAAAATAATTACGACAGCTTGCCCAAACAGACAAGAAGTACAATAAGACCAATAGTCTGAACAATACTACAAACAATAATAAAACTGATAATGAGAATGAGAGCCAGAATGCGAATAAGAGTAAGGATACTAAGAAGGGTAAAAATGCGAGCACAGACGGGATCCCCTGCTTCTTTCCTCCCTCCCTCCTTTGTTTCATGTTCTTAATCATCATTATCCTATACGATCATTGTTACCACCCCTGTTGAAGCATTGGTTGTTCCTTGCCGTCGTGCGGGGTAGTGTGCATCCGAGGATATCGCCCCCGCCACGCATGGCGCCTTATCTTAACACACGCACCGCCAAAACTAATCGCCCCCAATCGTAGGCACGGACGTTTCCTTTTCAAAGCTGGGCTTCCCCTTGCGTGGGACTTAATCTTGTTATTGCTGATCTTGGCGGTGGTGTTGGTGTTTTTGATGTGGATGTCGTTGTTGGTGGTGTTGCTGTTCTTGGTCTTGTTGTTCAAGCTATAAGTCTTATTGCTGGTATTATTGTCGTTGTTCGTGTTGGTGCCGTGCCGTAGAGGAGTCTTGAGGAGGAGGAGCAGGAGGAGTTCTTCTGTTCAGCTGGGCCAAAGCCTCTTGACTGAGGCCTTGGCCCTCGGCTTGATCCGCAATGGCGAATAAGATCCAAAATGGCTACGGGGGGAAGAGGAGGAAGAGGAGGACGAAGAGGAGGAGGACCCCTGATGAGGAGGAATAGGAGGAGGAGGAGAACCCTTGAGAAGGACGAAGAGGAAGAGGAAGAGGACCCCTGCTCGGAAGGCCGAGCGCTGGGAAGACGCGCGGCCACTTCAGTTCTCGCCCACACCGACCACCTGACGCAGACTCGTCTGCGTCCAGAGCAGTTTCTGAGGATGCCTCAGGAAGGCGCTTGTTTCAGAACCACCAGGAGACCATATTGCGAGAATGTCTCAGGCGGTTTGCTTGTTTCGGCGAGCGGACTCGTCTGCGTTCACATAAAGGAACGAGGTGCCAGGGTAACGGTTCTGAGGTGCCTGGTGCGTTATACTTTCGCCGGAGAGGGGGGGGTCCTTAATTGCTTGACGCGGTTATTGGTCAAGCCTTGGCCCAAAGTCTGGCCACATCGGCACTTCCAGAAAGGCACGGGGCGGCGATGACTCACCGTAACCGACTTCGATATGTGGAGATAAACATCGGCCTGGAATCGGCGAAACGTGGCCGATACATTGGCGACAGGACCCCGATAGCAAAAAGCATGGTCCTGGGCGGTGTGGGCTATCGGGGCCAGATCGGCGATCAATGAGCGAGCGGTAATCGATGCGTCTCTCCCCCTGAGCACATCGCCCCATAACGACAACCCTAATGAGCGGAATTTAAGAATCCTCGACGTTGAATACGGACTCACTAGTGGCGGCCCCAGACACCAATCAGCGGGGCGTCCTGAGAATTGTCGGGCGTCCTCGCATGCTTCTGGAGTGCCCCATCAACCGAATATCCGACGCAACAGCAAAACGCTCACGTGCGGATTGAAGCATTCGTTCTGTTCCTGGTGATACGGAACTGGCCGCTCAGTGATGGTCAGACTCAGTTGATGTATGGTTTCGGCTGGCGAAGTGCTTATGTCTGCTGGGTAGAAAACCGTGCTCGCCCAAAACGGGTTACGCTCAAAAATTCTCGAGACGTCTTCACACCCGTCTGCACGCGAGGCGAACATTTGCATGACCGCCCCATACAAAAGAACACATCGCCAAATATGCACAATCCACGCTGCCCTCATCCGTGTCTCCCGGGAGCCCACGCAAGTGCCGACAATCGAGCAATTCGAGCCTCCCAGGGAGCCGTGAAGTCTCGGTTGGGTACGCGTGGCCCCCGACCACGCTGGACCTCCCAGGAGCCCACGAACGTGGCGACAGTTGCGCACTTCGCAGCATCACAGGGAGCAGCAAGGTCTCAAATGGATGCCCGTGGCCCCCGGCCACGCTAGACCTCCCAGGAGCCCACGAAAGTGGTTCCAGTTGCGCAGGTTGCAGCCTCCCAGGGGGCAGCGAGGTCTCAAAATGAGCCCGCGTGGCCCCCGACTCCGATGGACCTCCCAGAGCCCCCCGAAACTGGCGACAGTTGCGCAGGTCGCAGCCTCCCAAGGAGCAGCGAGGTCTCAAACGGGTGCGCGTGGCCCCCGACCACGCTGGACCTCCCAGGAGCCCACGAAAAGGGTTACGCAGCCTCCCAGAGGGCAGCGTGGTCCCAACATGGGCTCGCGTGGCCCCTGACTCCGCTGGATCACCCAGGAGCCCAGGAAAGTGGCGACAGCTGCGCCAGTCGCAGCCACCGAGGGAGCAGCGAGGTCTCGTCTGGGTGCGCGTGGCCCCCGACCACGCTGGACCTCCCAGGAGCCCACGAAAGCAACGACAAATGAGCAGGTCGCAGACTCCCAAGGAGCCGCGAGGTCTTGGCTGGATCCGGAGAGGCCCCCGACTCCGCTGGACCTCCGAGGAGCCCGCGAAAGCGGCGACGGTGCGCAGTTCGGAGTCCCCCGCAAGGAGCCAAGAGGACTCGGCCAGGTCCGCGTGCTTCCTTACGCCGCCGTGCCTCCCAGGAGCCCACGAATGTGGCCACAATGGCCACGTCAGGCCAGTCACCCAAGGAGATGCGAGGTCTCGGCTGGATCCGCGTACTCCCCTACTCCGCCGTGCCTCCAAGGAGCCCACGAAAGTGGCGACGGTTGTTCGAAGAACCCAAAGAAATGCGAGGTCTCAACTGGGTCCGCGTACTCCCTACTCCGCCGTGCGTCCCAGGAACCCACGAAAGTGGCGA